ATTAAAACTGAATAGTTAAACTCGAAATTCAAAATAACCACCGCTTCAGGGAGTTTGAGTAAGCGTGGCTCTATTTCCTGAAACTGAACATGTCAAGTAAACTAAGAGACAGATTGAACATGCATGTAAAGGTAAAGGCCAGATTCCACCCAGGAAAACCCCTCGCAGAACAGAAACGGCTGGAGAGCTGAACTTCGTGTTAAATTCATGACGTGACCAGATGTTCCAAACGAAATCTCGCAAAACAAACTGAAAACTTTCCTGTCCACCCCGATCCTCAAGACCCTCCAAATGGAGACTAGCCTTTACATGATAGACAGAAATATATTACAGACAGAGACATACAAATATACAAACACGACAAACTGACCTAACTATTTCCTGTGGACAGTCCCGTACCAGTGACCACGTACAAGATAACTCAACATCATCGACTAACTTAACAAGTTCGGTATATTTACGTTTAAGATAGTTTTTAAAGGAGATCGGACTGGAGAATGTATCTGGATGAACGTCTTCACATATACAGTTCCATCGTTTAACTATTCGGTTGAAGTATGACGATTGAAATTAAGATCGTTGCTCTACACAAGGGTGTTTGAAGCACAACACTATATAGCAGCTTGACTGAGTCTAGTGCGTTTAATAATATGTTCAATGAATGAAACATAAACTGTCCATTTTAAGGTCGATGTGGCCATACAGCGTCCTGTAGAAGAACACGAGATCTCTGATTTCTCTGTCGTATGTGAGAGGCAATAGTTTCAATGTCATTAATCGTTGTTTGTAAGGTATTTCACCAGTCTTTATTCTTAAGATCCATTTTGTCGCTCCCCTTTGAACTCTTTCAATTCTTCTGTTGAGTTGACTGTAATTTTTCGCAACTGCTCCTGGTCAGTGAGCTCTATATATATCTGGAGTAAGAACTTCAGTCATTCGGTCAATGAGAAAAGTGAAGCCAAGATGGCGGCCATTGACGTCCAATAGCTATGAAGGTCGTAAACAGTTTTTATACCATTTTCCCCAGCTAATTCCAGTTTTTTTCTAATGGACCGTATCACTAATCAAGTTTTCAGTTCATAAAATCACAATATTATTGTTTAAATCAAAGTCAAAATACGAAATTTCAACACACTCCTTGCCAAGATGGCGGAAATTGAAGGAGCTCTTGGACGTCAGTTCCAGTCCCTTTCTATTGTTTTTGTATGCGCGGTTAACACGAAACTGGCTTCACTTTGAGCAACCAAGTTCCTACTCCAGATATATATGGAGCTCACTGCTCCTGGTTAAGTCCAATAAATGTATAAAATTCGCACTCAAAATTTCCATCAACAAAACCCTTATTTCTAGAGTTAGTTATATCAAGTGTTGATGCCCAAAATCCTGATAGTGTGTGAATTAACCACTTTACTATACAGTATATATAATAATGTGTAAAAGTACAATACACAGTTAGAGTTATACATAATATACGATTAAAGCTAACCATTTGTAATATTTCTTGAATTTGTGCCTGAAACATAAATGGCAATTTAGGTTGATTAGTTTATTGAACATTCTCTGCTTCACTAGTATAACTAAAACCAAACTGTGAAAACTACATTTGCCGTCGATTTCAAATTACATGGACAATATACGCAAAACTTTAATATTTGTTGCTTGGAGAGTTTGTTGCTAGTAGAATTATTGCCCTGTATAAGGAGCTGATTACATGGAGAGTTTCAGTCAGCCCGGGCCGCTGAGTTTCAACCGTGTTAAACGAGCTGAAATTGCATCACGATTACATGAGCAGTTTGAGCCAGGGCTTAGTTTAGTCAGAGCTATAGGCTACTTATAGTCAGCCCGGGCTGAAATAATCTGAGTGTCACGAAATAGGACAATAAGCCTGTTACGCTTCTTTGAAGCATTCAAACGCTGATTAGTCGACTGTCATTGACTTGTGTGAGACTGTGGTTAAAGCATTTAAAGATTAAACAAACACGCAACATAAACTAGCCATTTACACGGTAACTTGTTTTTTCAGCACGGGCTGAAATTATTTGTGATTCTGCCGGCCTGAGCTTCAGCCCGGGCAGCTCAAACCCAGCTTATTTTGGTCATGTAATTGCTTGCTGTGTTTTAATAGGATTTTATCCTGCTGAAATTTCAGCCCGGGGAACCGGGCTGAAACTCAGCCCGAGCTGAAAACTCTCCATGTACTGTTATCACCCCCTAAGTGAAGTCTCTGGCTCTGCAGAGAACAGACACGTTCAATCTTTGTTGGTAGTATCCTGCATGTTTCGCGCACAAATATCACACCTGCCGAGGTGTTTTGAATAAAAATAACGAGTCAGAGTGGTTACAAAAACTCTGATTTTTCTGCAGGCGAAACTAGCCCGGGCGGCAATAACCATAACATCTGCCGCGCTACCAAAGAAATTACAGTGAGTCCCAAATTTGGTGACCGCCAAACTTTATGTGCAAGATTCTTTCTTCAGCTGAAAATGAGCTTCGTTTAGAAGAGCCCACTGAAAGCTGTGCAACACGAGTCAAACCCCATGCCAATAAGATGGCTTAGTGAGATAAGTAGATAATTTCTCTTTCAACATTAATTATTCAGTTTTACTAGTTGTTACTAGTGTTTGAACGGTCCCATTCTCGGCTAGCTCTACCTATAATTCAAGAACAACAATTCGGACATGCATTGGAAACATTATAGTGCTAACACTTCCTTGTTGCAGGTAAAATACACATGCATCTATAAGGAATACTGGAAGTCGGTTCAAATTATCTTCATGTGGGATTCAATTTCAATTTCTCCAAAATGAAGATGATCAATGTCTCCAAAATGAGTCTCCCGCCAAACTTAGTGGGTCTGAAATATATTTCTCTTTGATTTTGACCTCAATCATAACCCTGACCCAATTGTGCGCGAAACAGTAACAACTAGTAAAACTGAATAATTAATGTTGAAAAAGAAATTATCTACTTATCTCACTAAGCCATCTTATCGGCATGGGGTTTGACTCGTGTTGCACAGCTTTCAGTGGGCTCTTCTAAACGAAGGGACTCACTGTAATTTCTTTGGTAGCGCGGCAGATGTTATGGTTATTGCCGCCCGGGCTAGTTTCGCCTGCAGAAAAATCAGAGTTTTTGTAATCACTCTGACTCGTTATTTTTATTCAAAACACCTCGGCAGGTGTGATATTTGTGCGCGAAACATGCAGGATACTACCAACAAAGATTGAACGTGTCTGTTCTCTGCAGAGCCATGCAGAGACTTCACTTAGGGAGTGATTACAGTACATGGAGAGTTTTCAGCTCGGGCTGAGTTTCAGCCCGGTTCCCCGGGCTGAAATTTCAGCAGGATAAAATCCTATTAAAACACAGCAAGCAATTACATGACCAAAATTCCAGCTTGGGCTGAGTTTCAGCTGGGTTTGAGCTGCCCGGGCTGAAGCTCAAGCCGGCAGAATCACAAATAATTTCAGCCCGTGCTGAAAAAACAAGTTACCGTGTAAATGGCTTTATGTTTCAAAGAGTTTGAGAAAATTATCTTTGACCAACTTAATAAATATTTTAACGACAACAATCTGTTTTCTTCCTGTCAATCTGGATTTCGGTCATTGCATAGTACAGTAACAGCATTGCTGGAGACTACAAATAGCTGGTCTGTTAATATAGATAATGGTCTAATTTATGGAGTTGTTTTCATTGATCTGAAAAAAGCCTTTGATACTATTGACCATCAGATAATTAGAAAATTATGGCATCGACCATGCATAATAGTTTAAAATGGTTCGAATCATATCTTACTGGCAGAACACAAAAACGCAAAGTCAATGATCGGCTGTCAGGTTCGACGTCAGTAACGTGTGGTATCCCACAAGAGAGTAATTTGGGTCCGTTGCTGTTCCTTATCTATATTAATGACCTGCCAAACTGCCTTCACCACGCCTAGAATGTTTGCAGACGATACGAATGTAAGCTTTGCAGCTGATTCTCTGGAAGAGCTCCAAATTGTCATTAACTCTGAATTAGAACGTCTTAAAAACTGGCTTATTACAAATAAGCTCAGTTTAAATATTGCAAAACGGAGTTTATGACCATTGGATCTCGACCATGCAAGAATCAATGCTACTCAGGGTAGTATAACCATTAAGCTTGATGGTAGTGAAATCAACAAAGTCGATACTGTTAAATCCTTAGGAGTACATATCGACAAACACCTTTCTTGGTCAACCCATATTGAGAAATTAACTAAGAAAATTGCTTCAGCCATTGATGCAATAAAACGTATTAGACCATTTGTAAGTACGAGAACAGCTGTTCAGGTGTATAAAGCCTTGATACACCCTCATTGAGCCATTGGTGCATTAAAACGTCAATTAGACCATTTGTAAGTACGAGAACAGCTGTTCAGGTGTATCAAGCCTTGATATGATACAACCTTATTTTGACTACTGCTGCTCAGTCTGGGACGGTTTTGGAGAAACTGTCAGTAATAAAATACAGAAACTACAGAACCAAGCAGTAAGAGTCATTACGAGGTCGCACTATGATGCAAGCGCTAGTTCTCTTTTGAATAATTTGCACCTATAGATAAACTTTGTTTACGACGCAAAAAGATTGGCTGGAATTATGTTTAAAATACTCAATGGTGATGGGTGATCTTACCTACAAAATCTCTTCACTGTTCGCGGCAGTGGGTACAACTTAAGAAACTCTGAAATAAAGCTAAATTTGCCCAAGCCACGAACTAACTATTTAAAACGAAGCATTTGTTATAGTGAAGCCTTATTATGGAATAATCTGCCTCAAAATCACGAATGCTTCGTTCGTTACCACTATTTAAGAATTCCTTAAATTATTACTATAATTTGTAAAATGACTCCCACACGGCAATCTTGGAAATCAGTTGTAATTATGTTTTCTATCTAATTAATGTACTGAAGATTTTACCGTGTTAAAATAACGTTTTATTGTATTGTATTGTAGTGGAATAAAACGTTGACTTACCTTTAATTAGTAGAGAGAGAAGTGGACAAGGAGACAGTAGGGGAGACAAAGGAGGATGATGGATGCACAGTGCTATTTAAAGGTACGATGGATATAGTAGAACTGACTCTCATAGGTAACGGAGTGGTAGTTTGAGGTCTTGCGCCATTTCCATCGGGTAACTTTTGTGCAACTTGAAGTTGAGTTGCGGGGATAACGATGACTTTAGGGACAGTCTGAGGTACACCCTCGGGTGGGCCTACGATTATTTCAGGGCCTTCATGCGCTGCCGCCACGGGCTCGCTCACCGGCACAACCATTATTTCATTTGGGGTTTCTCTTACTGCTCCTAAAGGAAAATATTTTAACAGAAATAATCAACACCATGAAGTGCTGCTTTTAGACCGTTTGCCATTACGGTCGCTTTATACAAGTCAGGAGTATGATTTAGTCGCGCGTGAACACCAAGGAAGTTGAATGTAATAGTCCTATTATGAGACTAAAACTGACTGAAAAGTGTCAAGCTGGACAGTTACAGTGTATGTATGTTTAAAAATGCTCGCCCATCACGCGCGGGCGAAGCGAACATATAATAGGGAGTTTAAGATCTTGACGACGAACTACCGACTACGTTTGAAATAGTTTTTGTTATATGTATATGCAAATACTAAATGCTTGTCATAAAAAATTATCCCAAATATGTTTTATGTCCATAGCTTTGCGGTAAGTTTCATCTTATAATTTTTTTTTTCATCATTTGTTTATATTAAACTTTCCAACCTGCAACGTTGCGTCGCCATTTTCGGTGCTGTGTTCTTGATTCTGTTTTACAACACAAGAATTAATGTGCATGATTTTCACGCTGTAGCCAAGGTCGCTACGGTGAAAAGTATGCTCTGGGGATATTTAAATTTTGTCTGCCTCTGCTAAAGCAATGCGAAAACAAGCTTTCAACCGTACTCCGTACCCGTTGTTCGTTGTTGGCATCTTAAACTCCCTAAAGCCTAGTTCTCATTCATCGCAAACTGTCACCGACGATCGGCGACGCTTATCGCCGATACTCACCGAGCGCGAATGCACGAAAGTTCTCATATATCGGTGATCGTCGCAGATGACAGCCGATGTGTTTCGAAATTTCCCACCAAGGCACAAAATGGCCCCATTCAACGTAAAGCTCACGATTTCTGTCAAACTTCAGTTGATTATTTCCTTGCTTGTTGAGGAAAAAACAACTTTTACTCATTTCTCATAGATTTTTCAAGCAGGTGGCAGTCGGCGATGGTCGCCAGAAACAAACTTTTTTGTTTCCTGCGATGTCATCGTCGATGGTCGGCGACGATTACGGACAATCGGCGATATAATTTTTGATGCGTTCTCATAAATGGCAAGCGGTCGCCGACGTCGCAAAGCTCCCATCGCCGACGGTTTGCGATGAATGAGAACTAGGCTTAATGAAAAACGGACACCGATGGAGAACTGTAATTCATGCAAATACCCATATATTATAAACTTCCTGAGATCACAAACATCAGTAGGGCCGCCAGCTTATTTTGGGATGACGTTTTTGGACTCTGCCTTACACAGTCAGGCATATTCATATATCAGTAATATAAAATGAGTTCATTGCGATGATTTTCAGCGAGCTTAATGCTGCTCAGCAAGCAAGGCGTCTCAGTTCCTTCCATGATAGTTTGATTAATTAATGTAACCAGGAATTTGATTGTATTTGACCAGGACTGATCCTGGTTTAAATTAACCAACTAGCTAAGTATCAGGAGCGTGGCGAACGATTCCAGATTGGGGGGGGGGGCGTCATACCATAATGACCCGCTGTTTCAATGAAAATGACCAACTTTTTCGTCCTTGAGTTGTACAGTTTTACTTCCTTATTGGGGGTTAAACGACAGGCCGTAATCGGCAATTTGATTCGTCTGTAATATTAATACATCTTCTGTTTGGCGAAATGGGCTTTCCATTTTGAAAGTAACGCCCTTTCTTGTTTATCTGACACATTTCTATAAATACAAGTGTAATCCCGCCCCTTAGAAACATTGTCATTTGACCCTAGAAACGGTCAATTTTGAACAGCTCAACGTGCTTTGCGAACGCATGTTGTTTCACGGTCAAACGAAATCGGTTGTATTTCCCGTAGCATCTCAATAAAAATTGACAATTATGGAAATTACCCTTATGTATATTACAAAACTAATGCACTGAATCAATAATTCATGAAACGAATCATATAGAATTATCGCAAAATTTGAGCCTTCAGCTCCAATGGTCAGTGGTCTGAAAATTGCTGTACTTCATTGCAGTATATACGTAATTGTAATCGGCGTTATCGATTTTTATAAAGATTTGAAATTATTTTACAGCTGTCAGCTGTCAGTAGTATTTCCTCAATATATTTTGACCAAAAATATAATATTTCCTTTAATATTTAAATAATTCCTTTGATTAAGAAAACATTTTGACCAACTTTTCAAAGTTCAGAATTATTGAGGGGGTCGCACCCCCCCCCCCCAAGCCCCTCCCCAGTCGCCACGCCCCTGAGTATGTTTTGTGCGGATAAGTAACCAGGGGTCCCTGGTACGGTTATGCTATAAGTCCACTGTTTCACGTCTATTTGGCAACGTGAAGTATACGATTAGAACGCATTAGACATCCAAACAGAATAATAAACACAACATAATTTCCGTGTCATCTAGATCTGCTTTTTTGAACGTTGCATATTTAAAAAATCATCGATCAAAACATGTTTTGACATTACACTGATTTTTAGTGAATAGCGAACGGAAACTTGTCCATAAACCCAAAAATAATGGCGCCTGTGACTATACTACAGTAGTATTTTAAAACAAAAATCCTTCCTTCTTCACCGCCTGTTTTGCCCATTTGTGTACCAGTCGTACCTACTTGTGTACCAGTCCTACCCATTTGTGTACCAGTCGTACCCACTTGTGTACCAGTCGTACCCACTTGTGTACCAGTCGTACCCTCTGTTGAGTCCGTCTTACTGCCTGAGGAACTAGCGGGCTTCTGTGGTAGCACACACGGCTCGTCACTTTTGTAAACAAACTTGTTGGTCTCGGGATCGACTTTTAAATATTTCATCAGCAATGTGTAGTGTTCCTTATTGAAAACTTTTCCAATACAAGATGACTGAACTTTCCCTTAGGAAAATAAAAGTTATTTTTAATATACGGATCATGACTATCCCACACGACTTCAATAAGCTGTGAACTGTAATTAATTTATTATTATTATTAATTCAAAATAGCGGCGGTTTAATTTCATTTTCATCAACCGTGGAATTTCATATAAAAGTCACATATAAATTCTAATCTAATGCTCCTGCTATACAGAACGACTCCACCTTGGCAACTTTTTATCAGGGGCGGCGCCAAGCTCCCTTCCAATTAAATCTCCATATACTCACTGGGTCTTTCAACGTTTTCTGCGTATCCTCCCACCATATTTCCCCTAGGGTCATACGCTGCCACGACATAAAAATTTCCATCGGCTTGACCTTCTTCGCCCAACCCAAATTGTTCAGTGGCTTTCCAAACCATGGCCGTAAAGTGACCTAAATAAGTGAATGAATGCATAAAATATTGATCTTATAAAATTTGCATTAGAGTAAGTATGTTTTTATTGTACTGATATCAAACTAAACTTATGCATTAGATTGTTTCAGTGTAGCTGGCTGTATCAGTTCTACATGATAACCAATCATGCAGTTCTACACTTCCACTATAGTACTGTCTGCGGTTTGTCTCTGGGGTTTCAGTAAAGGGGCCTTAGGCGAATATAACTGTTATCCATTATCAGAAGAAGTTGTGGAGCGACTATTGAATTTTCCACATCCTAATTATTCGAAATTGTATAGCCCTAACAATTTTCAAAATGTTTTTTTTCGTGAGCTACAGATTTGACAACCAAATCGGTTTTGAATACCAATTGAGTACGGAATTGAGTACCAATGTGTATTCATAAATATATAACATGTTACTTTCGCGTCAAAATTTCAGTCAGAATTTTCTTGACTAGGGAAGAAAATTCGTTGAGACTATAAGCGGTTTTCACAAAAAGAAAAACGTTGACGCGCGCGCTGACCAGAATCAGAATTATGCTTTTTTGGCGTAATATATGGAAAACATTCGCCACTTTCACTATTGAAGTCGTAGAACATCTGTAAAACACATGCATGCACGGTTTCGTTTAGAACAATTATTATTGTAACTGTTGTGAATTTTGTGGAGAATATATAAGTATTCTGGCATTCGTTAAGATATTATCAGATATTACCAGACATTTATAATATATATATATATATATATATATATATATATATATATATATATATATATATATATATATATATATATATATATATATGCCGAGACTAACGTTAATAAACAGACTTGATTAATATTAGTAATGTTGATTTATGTTGTGTTGTTGTTTTTGGTTGAATTTCCGATATATAAACACGCGCTGGCCCCGGGTTCGAATATACTGGTGACTTCCTGCGAACAGGTGGCCTGATCAATTAGGATGAGGAGCTATAGAGGAATGAAGCTACATTAAAGGAATGGTTATAGAGTGCGGGCAAAGTTCAGGGTTTCAAAAAGACAAATGTACTATTTAACAATTATTCGCCGAAGGCGAGGATCATATCGGGGAATATTCGTCGAGGTGAATATCCCCCGATAATCACCGAGTCTGAGGCGAATAATTGTTTTAGTATTTTTACACAAGTCTTTTGTGTTTTTGGGACTGAATATATATTTTAATTTCTCTTATTTCTTTATCAGTATTAACTTTGACAAAACAGCTAGCCGCCATTTTGAAAATTTCGGTTTTGTTATATTCACCTGTGGGTGAATATAACGGCTTAATACGTCAAATTTGACCAATCAACGTGTAGGAATTGTTATGTGCACTTGTGCAAAAATACTAAAATATAATAACTCTGTTAGGAACGATGTGTCATTACCTGTTTTATCTGAATATTTCGGATTGTCAAAGTCATATAGTTTTATTTCGTTGTACCAATATGCCACCGCGTACAAACATATGAGGTCGATATCTACTGGATTTTTTGTTGAATAAATATTAGTGCCCACTTCAGTCGTCCCTGAATAATGTTCCATTTTCTAAAAAAATAAAGCAGCAGTAAAATAAGTCTTATACCATTCTCAGTTCTGGCGTATGTAGTCGAATACACACGTGTGAAGGAATTGTGCCGTCAGCAGTAATAGCTAGTAATTATCATAAGCCAGAATGACAATCGTATACGACCGTAATACGACTGATTGGAGTTGTGTAGGCATTGTCAACCACAATTCATTGCGCGGTTTTTGTTCACATCACGAACGAGTGAGGACCCCGCGTGGAGTTGTATACAGTGAAAAACAGGCAAAGCACTTTTGTTGTAACTGTATTGACATAGCACTTTTAATAAAAACTCAGCAATGTTGGTTTTGTCTTTAAATCCTGTTTCCTCTTTGTTGACTAACCACAAGTTATTAGTTATATACACCTTCTCGTAAGGCAATTCTGTACACTTTTTCACCGAGACTTGGTCTTCCACGCTTACGACGTTTTGAAGCGCATTCTTGAGTCTTTGTCAGATGTATGGCCATATTTCTTTAGATCGAAAAAAATATAACAAACATCAAGGAAATATAAAACAATATGTATCAACCCCAATAGAAAATGTAGGTTTTGAAAGATTTTCCAACGATTAATTAGATATTTGAAAGATTTCCAAACCAATCAACCAGTGGTAAAGCTAGTCATAGAACATGCATGTCATGCTATGCAAACTTTTAATGATTTGTATTATTCAAACCTTTAGAAATTTATTGTCTTTATTAACCTATTTAGATGCCGGTTTATATATTAGCATAGCACAGTGAACTCAATTTATTTTGCTTTAGAGTTTAGGTAAAGTAAAATAAATCGAGTTCACTGCATGCATGACCAGTTGCTCCGCCACTGCAATCAATCGTATGATTGATTTCTCGACCAAGAAAATGGTCGCAGGCGTCAACAAAACGCGCGCAATGCATTATGGTTGACATTCGTCCTTTACATAGTAAGCCCGGGTAAATTAAAATTGATCACCGCCCACTTTGTTAATTAATATACAACTAAATATGCAAGAATTGACATTTTAAGTCAGTTTGTAAATTTGCTTGATAAATGATTTTCCGTACAGTGTCCGGTTGTACAAAAACGTAGTAAAAATTAATAGACAACTTGCATGTTAGACTAATTTTTGATTTAGGAAAAAAAAAGTAAATAATTCCCGTAAAGAACTTATTAAAATCAGTAAAATTGCAAAATTTGGTTGCGAAATATTGTAAAATACAGAAAATATAGCTCGGCTCAAAAATGGTAACAATTTCCGCACGTAATACAAACATACTGAAAATATACAAACTTCGCAAGGCTATATTTTCTGTATTTTACAACATTTCGCAACCAGATTTTGCAATTTTACTAATTTCATTTTGTTCTTTTTAACTGTTGTATTTAATTCCCTTCTCTTTACTTAGATTAAAATTTAGTCTAACATGCAAGTTGTCAATTGCTGCCGAAGGCAGCCTCCTATTCTTGACGATTTGTTTTTCTCGCACCAGTCCGTTTCCGGCCGAGTTATGTATAAGTT